AAAGAGCACCTCAGCCTTCTCTTGTGTCCCTTGTGACCCATTCTCCATTTTCCTTCTGGAGAGGGCCCACATCTTCCCTAGCCTTCTTTTTATCACTGATTTACCTATAGAAATTATTCTTGTTCCCCTTTGTGTCCCTGGCCAGACTTAATTCCACCTGTGCTTTAGCTTTCCTAACCCGATCCCTGGCTGTTTGGACAACTTCTTTGTAATCCTCCCAGCTAACCCGTTCTCACTTCCACTCCCCATAGATTTTATAAAGCACAGTAATAGAAGATTTGATTTAGTAAACAGTAAAATCTTGCTAACTTTCTTTCCATATTTACTAAATTAAGAATACTTATCACCCTGTGTTTGCCTGGAGAAATTGATTTTGTGTTAAGGTGATACTTGTTAACATGAGCATGTGTGTAGTAACCAAGTGTGTTCCAACCATAGAACAAAGACTTGAAGAGCCGAGTTCTCCACCTGGAGGGTTCTTACCGATCCAGTAAAGAGGGACTTGTTGCTCAAATGGAAGCAAGGATCACAGAGCTAGAAGAACGACTTGAAAATGAAGAGAGGTGAAATTAGCTACGTTAAGATCAAAATGTGCATGTTTATGTTTGTCTATATGGCCTCTTGCTAATATTAGGTCTTTAATGCAATTGACTTTTCTTTTCCCTCACAAGCACCAAATTAAAATCGTTGCTTTTTCATGCAAGTATTGCAAATGTTCTTTTTGAATGATGGCACACTAAAAGTTGCTTTATAAATTTAAAACTGGGCACAGTGCTAACAAGGTTCTCGTTATTTTGTCACTGTTTGGTATCAGTAACAGGCTTAGAAATACTAACTATAGTTTATAATTTCTATTTTCCTGTTCCCTTCATTGTTTATTCTTGGAGGAGTGTACTTTTTTTTTTTTCCTAATTGTTGCTTTGGAGACAGAAGAAATTCTCCTTAGTGGTTCATAGTTTTAAACAAACTTCTTAATAAGTTGGATGGAATCAGTAAATCAAAGCAGGGGCCATTAGTATTTATGTAATTCTTAGAAGATTGCTAAGGAATTATGACAGCACTATTAGAAGTATTTCAGTTCCTTTTTTTTACAAGTCTGTCTTTTGTTTGTTTTGCTTTTATCTAGGGACAGAGCTAATTTCCAACTAAGTAACCGCAGACTTGAAAGGAAAGTGAAGGAGTTAATGTTGCAAGTTGATGATGAACATCTCTCATTGACTGATCAAAAGGACCAGGTAGAGGGAAAGACTAATATGCAAATATCTGTGATTTATCCTGCTAGCATAAATCATCATATATAAAGGATTTGAGGAGAATGTAGCTAGATACTGATTACTCTGGTGTTTATGAACTCCCATGTAGTGAGATTCGCAGTTCCTGTTGTCATGTTCTTTTGTCTAGTACTAAATTGTTACTAATTTGTAAAATTATGAAAAGGAAGCATTTATAGAAGCAATGCTATTGTTACTTTAAGAGATAAAGCAAATAACAGACAGTATGTGATCCTATAAATACATACACCAACAAATAATATATTCTGGTTTGCCATCATAAAGTTTTGTTTGAAGAAATAAGCTATTATTAAATATAGGCTATAAGTATTAAGCGCATGTTGATACTCTAATAGCAATGAGCTCTACCATTCCTGTTGTCTTTGTTGATTCCTTGCTTAAAACATGGTTTGTTTCAGTACATGACTCAAATAGTTAATATTCTGCCTAGGGAATGAACAGTATGTTTCGAATTGCAGATATCTGTCATGGGAACAGTCTTCTAAAATCTGGGGGTTTAAAATGTTTTTTAAAACTATCTGTCTGGTAAAGATGCTTAACTTAGACAAACGAATAGCTCCAGTCTTCCCTTTTGGTAACTGGCTCTTGCTATCACATGATACTGTTTTACTCTACCAAAGCTACATTCCCTTGTTTCTGGCTTTTTCTCCTTAAAAGAATCATATCCCATCGCTTTTCTCAGTCTAATTCTGACTTTCGAATATGTCTGAAGCATAGGATTACAGTGTCACTAGACTGGCACAGTTGTGTCTTTATTCTCCCTCTCATTGATGCTGGAAGAATAGAATTCCTTTATTAAAATAGTCCTCTAATCAGCTGACATGTAAATATTTCAGTTGAGTTTGCGTTTGAAAGCAATGAAGCGACAAGTTGAAGAAGCTGAAGAAGAAATAGACAGGCTGGAAAGCGCGAAAAAGAAACTCCAGAGAGAACTGGAAGAGCAACTAGATATGAATGAACAATTGCAAGGACAGCTTAATGCAGCAAAGAAGGAATTAAGGTAGGATGACTTGTCAGACCTTATGGTTATGAGCTCTTTCTCCTTTAGTCTGTGAACCAAGGGCTTCCTCTAGCAAACTTCAGGTTTGTCATAAGCAGACAAAGATTAAGAGACAGACCTGTGAAACTCCTCTGCATTTCCTTTCTCTACAAATGTTCTCTGGCTTTTCTCAGGTGCCCTAGGTACCCAAACCTTCTTTCCAATATCTACCTGCTGAATAAAGTCATTGAGGTAGGGAATAAAAAATGGAAAAAGGTGGTGGGGCTCATTACTCCGGTCATTTGTAGTAATAAAATTTTCCTGCTAATGGCTGAGAGATAAGCTATCCTGTGTTTAGTTTTTCTCAGCCATCTTTGAACATCTCAGTGTGGAAAGTTTACAGTTTCCCCTCTCTGTGATGTTAGTTAGATGTCCTTGAAAGTATGATTGATTGATCTTCATTCTCTTGCATGTTTCTTTCCTGTAAGACATAGTCGATGATAAACTACCCCTATTGGAGCACAAGATTATTTGACATCCTTTAAAAATGTAAATACTACCTGTCAATGTTTTGAGCTTTGGATAAGTGTTCTGTTTGTAGATGTGCAGTTTTAATAGCAAAGATGTGTGTGTTTTTGTTTTAGTAGACTGAAGAAGTCACCAAGTAAAGTGTTGGCTGATTCTGATGATGATGATGATGTCGATGATGATTTCAGCACGGATGGTGATAGCCTCTGTGAAGTACCTTCAGGAAATAACTTTTCAAAAGATGGCGACACAAAAATCTAAATAAGTATTGAATCCGTGATTCCTTGAAAGTACTGGAAGAATAACATAAATTATCAAGAAACTGGATATTCTAGAAACCAAATGACATAAAGGGATTTAAGAGTTGGGAATATAATGTTTCCATCCTTACTGTGCCATTTTCTTAGTAAATCTCCACTGTTTATTATAGAAAACAGGATTGCATTATAAAATAGCTATAACATACAGATATATGTGTAACTGCCACTGAAAACACAGGGATAATGTTTCACATTGGAAAGGTGATTTTGCTAAAATTCTGTTAAGTAAAAAGCCATTTAAAATTAATTAAAAATTACTTTGAAGTTATTAAAAGCTTTTTCCCTAAAATTGAGGAAGATTAAGAAGATTATTTAAGAATTGTAAGTAGGGGGAAATGATGTATAAAATGTAAATATGTGAAACCTGATCTTTTTATTGACTACACTAGTACTGTTTTGTAAAGGTTCCAATAGTATATAAATCCGTTTCATATGTAAAGTACTGAAATTTATACTGAATGCAATATTTGGGTTTTAACTATGAAGACAACAAGTGAAAATTAATACATTTTGTTCATTGCAGAGCAGATTCACTGAGCCAGGAAGTACCCAGTGCAAGTTGCATTGTATGTATTCTGTATATTAGAGATCACATGTTAAGCCTGTCTGTTGACCTTAAAAGAACCATCCCATCTCTATGATAAGGGAGGCACACCACAGCTTTCTTGTAAACTTTCTTTGGGAAGCTTTCTGTTCTTAGTAGGGAAGGGTGAGAATGAGGTCTGTTATTACTTGGCATCTTTCATTTCCTGAAATGGACTCCACACTGCCAGAGGCAGAACATTATAGGCCTGCTCATTTGAGGGCATCAGGACAGGCTTATCTTAAAGTCTCTAAGGAGGCCATTCATTCCAGTACAATTACCTGTGGTCTTTGAATGAAGTTCATACTTAAATCTATTCGTTAATTGATCCCAAAATGTTACGCACCTGGCAAGAAATTGCACCAAGAAAACACAAAGCATGTAATCTGATTTTTTTTTTTCTTTCTACCTGTTCTTGAGCATCTATTTGTGATATACTGCAGTGTATGGTCATATATGCAGATACATAGTTGTATTTCAGTTTACAGAAGTGTCTGCGTTTTGAGTGATCCATCTGTTCAACAAACTTTGCAGGAAATTTAAAGGGAAAAAAAAGTGTTGCAGATCTTACTTTACAAGCATTTTCAGTTTTATTGCTAAAAGTAATTTTTCACCATTTAGATTACACCAGCCCATTTTCTGGTGTAGTAGGGCACCACTACATAATTCTGTTATTAAACCATAGCTCATACTCCATACCATTCACCATACTCAAACCATATTCCCACAGAGGCATCTGTCTACTGAAGAGGAAAAATGTAATAGCTCTGAAACTGAGGCTGATAGACTTGTTTAAGACAAAAGTCCTGATAATGGCAGTATCTGTTTTTATACGATTATACGAAATTAAATTCCTGCCTGCAGGATCAGAAATATATTTATGCATAGCAGATTACAGGCTTTTTTGCCATGTAATTCCCTTTAACTTGATGTTGTTGATTTAAGATATATGGGGAATAATGTGAACGACATAGTTGTACATACTCGGTCTCTGAATCTCGTGTATCTTTTTAAGTAGCATACATCATGGAATTTTTTTGTAGTACTGGCTTTACTATTTTGACAACATAGAAACAGCTTTTCCCCCAAGAAGATTTGCACTGTACTGTACTGACAATCATCGTATAGCCTGCTGTGATTTTGTTGCTGTTGTTGTTGTTTAATTTGCATGTAGGTTTAACTTGAAACAACTGAGTTCACTCTCCAGTAGTCTGTCCTAAGGTTCATAGATGACTATTATTTCAAACCGCTGGAAGAAAATCACTTAAAATTGCATCTACCTCCAGTTACACTAAACTATAAAAGAAAAATTAACTTGAAATAAACAGCTCTTTCAGTCCTACTTTGAATGTATACATACTTTGATATGACAATTGAATTTCATATGGAAGATGCACGTGTTAAAAATACAAGAAGAAAATAATCATCTGGGAAATACTGATGCTGTAAACAAGTTTCTGCATTTTCTTCTTTTTAGTTAGCTACTTTCTTTGTAACTTGTAATGCAGGTGGCAGGTGTAATACTAGAAGACTCCTTTTGTCATTTGAACTTACAATGTTAGAAGGAGGAAGATGCATTGTTGCAGGCTCCAATGGGAGAGATTCTGCTTATTCAGCTTTGCCCCACTCCCCACATTCTTCAAAAAAGGAACTGGTCTTTAGTTTTTTTCATTTACACTTGGAAATGGCATTTCCTCTTTACGTTTCTCAACTAATACGACTGGAATCAGAGAAAATCTGAAGATGTTGATAAAGGGTTTTTCAAGTCATTCACAAAACGGTAGCTCTGTTTCTTGATACATGCTAGCTTTAGTGAGGGCAGGGTCTAGATCTTGATTGACACAGAAACCTCCATTTATAATAGTTTAAGGACGTCTAATTTGTTCACTCTGTCTCATGGCAGTTTTTGATCTAAACTCAAGGTTTAGTTTAGAAAATTTTTCCTAACATTTCCATGTGATCTGTTCTTAAATGAATTTCAGAAGAGGCTCTTGACCCATAAGAACAAGCAATTGGGAGAATATGTGAAGAAGCATGGTTGTGAGAAATTCAGTCCATAGAAGTTTGTACAAACATCAGAGTTGCTGGTGTATTACAGAGAAATGCCTTGAATTCTGCGCTGTAGAGACCTTCTGTTTTCTTCTATGATAATGTAATATCTCCTAAACAAACAGACCCAAGTTAAATCACTTTTGATATATGCTTAACCTGATGACTCATACAGTGGATGCTTCTCTCTGTGTAAGTAATCTGTGATGAACAATGAACATTTTGTCCTCTCTGAGATTAATAGCCTTTCATATCCCACTGAGATTTTGACTATTTTTATGTGGTGAGAGACTGTCTATAAAAACAATATTTCTTTCCATTAAAATCCTATTCTGCCTAAATATACATGTTCTTCAAACAGCTGTGTAAGATTAACAGTGCCATATTCAATTGCTGACAACTTGTGCCTTAAGAAGACTTATGATCATTCCTGGTTTTGAGAATCAAATCCGAGTTCTATTTTGAGCATTTTGACTAATCTCTTATGTTCTGGCATAGATCCTCTTGTTATGTTCTGGCAGCCAAGATCCCCTTGGTTTTCTGAGCCTACCTTTGTAGATAGGAGAATACAAGTGAACTTCTACAACAGTGTTTTGATGTTTTAAATCACTAACATTTGGAAAGTGCTCCAAGATCTTTCAGTGGCAATTGCTACACAATGCAAAATATGTAAATGTAAAACCAAACCAGCCACAAAATCCTTCTGTCCTCCATAGACTCCTCATTTACCGTCCAAGTAATAAAATTAAGGATATTCATCACACATTTAAATGCCCTTGTGTTTGGAAGGCATCTCTTTTCATAAAGCATTATTGTCTTTCAGACATAGTATCTCTTTTTACTGCATGGAGAAAGAAAAAGGAAAAGTCATCATCTTGCTGTGCCCTGTACCTGCTTCCTTGTGCTACACTTTATTTAAGGAAAACCATTGACAATGCTAATACTTCCTTAGTTTAGCATCGCCAGTTGTTTTATATTGTTCAATCACCAGGCAAGTTTTGCCCCCACAATGTAGTCTCTTGGTTGTAAGACTATAACTTGTTGATTAATCTGCAAATACCTCTTGATTTATCCTCATTCTTTTCAACTTAATTCTTTCCTTTTTCCTGATTAAAAAATCTGTGCTGATTTTCTAAACTATTCCAGAAGTCATGTGCATTCCTCATTTTTTACAGACCAGCTGTGTGGTGTGCTTTGAGTGAGCTGCACAGTGCAATAGCCTGTGTAACTTGTAGGCCTTTTCTGGATCACAAAGCATATTTCAATAATTAAATGTTGATTCTTTTAGCTTATTGGAGCTTCCTATCCTATGAGTAGAACTATCTACTAGTAACATTGCAAAATCTTCAAAGATTTTGCTGAAAGAGCAACATTCTTTAGAGATTGCCAGGTCGTATAACACATTTTAATTTGTTCTTTTTTGCAGAAGGTGCTGATGAGGTCACATATTTAACCCTCTGACCCTACTATGTTGTAGTGGGGAAAATTTCATTGTCATTTCAAAATTTATTTGTGAGCAGTGCGCTAATAAAGGTATAGAAATTAATAGGAGGGTTTTTTACGTTACAGGTTTTTCTTTTAACATGTAAGAAAGGAAAGAATAAGAAGAAGGGCAGTGAAGTTCGACAAGGTCAAGTGCAGTAGTGAATCGGGCTCACCTACCTCAGTACAACTGTGACAGCCCTTTAATGGTTAGTGCCAGTGAACTCATGTGAGGTCACCACAGACTGTGTGTTTTATGTAAGGGGGAACAGTTGATCTTTTCTTCACTTCTAATACGAATTTGCTGATTTATTCAGATCTTGAAGCTTCATGCCATTAGCAGAAGAACAGGCAATAAAAAATTTTACTTAAATTCTGAGCACAGGTGGACGATGAAAGTTGAAGCTCTCCAAGTTGCCAGTAGGAAAACTGTAGGAACTCTTCTATGTGAGTGCAGAGAAGGGACTCGTTACAGGTAACTTAAACTTCTTCTTGCTTTCTGTGTACTTCTTCAGCAGAATGGGCTTTCTGAACAACACTTTAGGTTACAAAGCCATTTTCACTGGTTTCAAGTAGTCCTTTTACTTTGGTGGCATGCAGTCTGGCTAGGATGAAACCAACCAACGGCATAATGTGAAGTAAGGGAGAAAATACAGACAGTAAGAAAAATTAATGAAGTTCCAGTTCTGATTAATTTTGGTTTTTTGACCTTTTCACTCTTGTGGCACTGAATGTTGCTTAGGCCATCTTAAACCTACAGATACCTAACTTGGGCTGGGATGGGTGTAAGATTTTATTTGCAGGGCAAAACTGTCAGGTTCGAGATCAGAATGGTAGGGAACACATTGAAGTAGTGCTAGGAAGTGCCTGTTTCCTATACGCAATGCAATGGCTTTTTGTCAAAGATGTGTTTACTTCTGTGTGGTTTTTGTGAGAGAGAAAGAAAACATTGCTGCCCTTGGAGTGGAAAGAGAGATGAGACTGTCTGGGACTTGTCCCTGGGAAAACTCAGTCTGTGCCAGAAAGGAAATCTACTTTTCTAGAAAGCAGTTCTGTTGTGCATAGGAGAGCTGAGTTGTTGTCTAAAAGTTCACCTCTCACACCCACACAGCTGGCTATTCTCAGCCCTGCCTGGCCTTTATTTTCTTGGGAGATAAGGACTTGAGACTTGGAACTTGACTTGGCTGAGGCTGCCAGCATGTGATTTCTGTGCTACGGATTGAGATTGGTATACTATAAATTTTGTTCTTCAAGTCTTTTGGTTAAAGTGCAGCAAATACTATT